ACCTGAACCCTGACCTGAACCCGAACTCAGCGCTAACGCGCTGCACCTGCCGTGCGCACCGCCTCCGGCGGACTGTAAAAGTTCATCCTTAACCCTACGCTGCTGCGTCTCTGCTGACTGCTAAATACTACTCTTGCTGTTTTTCCTCACTCTATATAACCCTGCCTTTCTCAGCGCTAACGCGCTGCACCTGCCGTGCGCACCGCCTCCGGCGGAACTATAACCTTACCTTCCTCTTCTCTGTACTTCTTCGTATAGTACTTAGCTTCCTCTTTAACTCTTATCTAGTTATGTCTTATCTTTCTTGTTTAACTCTGTATATAACCCTGACCCTTTTATCTTTCTTATACATTATTCACTTCTACTCTAATTTCTATTTATAAAATGTAACATAATTTGTTGTAATTTACCTTTACTACTCTACTCTTAACTATAATACCTATTCTTTCTTACTAATATACTGCACAATCTCATCCCACACAGCAAGCCCGTTCGTCATCGACAACCCATACATCGGCCTCGTCCGCTTAACCCACTCGCGGTATATCTGCTCATCACTACAATCTATCCCAAACCTGTCACGTACTAGCCCCTGAACCGTTTCACTGACCCTTACCATCATTACCACCGGCAATATCCTGTTGCGGTAGCTACATTTACCCTGCACTCGTCCCACGCTACACCAGTTGTACGGCAGACCGCACTCCCAGCAGCACTCATAGTCTGTAAACTGTAGTCTTGCCTGCCATCGATCAAAATCCTTCTGCTTTAGCAGCTTGCAGTCCTTCCGCTCATGCTCTATCCTCCCTTTATTCTCCTCCCTTGCCCCGTGTATGTGCCACTTAACAAAGCATACCGAGCATCCTACCTCCCGCACTCGATCTAGCCAGCTATACAGCCTTGTCATCCGCCGGCTCTCCTCCTGCACACTCTCCTTCAGTCGGTTAACCACCAGAACCCTTCCCTCTTCCCTATCTTCTCCGCCATTCACCTCATCAGTTTCCCTTAAGCACCGATCACAGTATTCTGCCCGCATATCGCTACAACAAAGCTCAATCCCATCAAAAAATCGCCCAAGCACTAACCGCCGACAGCCCTCACCCTTCATAAACAATTCAACTGCCTCACGGTTCATGTGATCAATATCACTGCCGAACTCGTTTACCCAGCCCGCCCTTCCGTCTGTCACAATCACCGAGTCTACAACCTCACCTCTCTGTCGACCGCCTCTGCCTGTCTGCTGAACAAAGTCGACTAGTCCAAACGGCGGTCCCGCGTGAATTACACCGATGATGCCCCTGACGTCGACGCCGGTCCCCAGTCCAGTCGTTGCCGCAATCCACCGCTGACCATCCCGCCCATCGACCCAGTCTTGCAGTGCACCAACTCGTGCTTCCCGCGTTAGCTTGCTGTGATACGCTTTGCAGCCAACCATCGCAGCTATTGCCTCACACTGCTTGATCGAGCGGCAGTATATCACCCCGCGCTGTGCTGTGCCCATTCGCCCCTCGATCGTCTTCATCGCAGCTACCACTCCGTCCTCGATTGCCGTCTTTTCCGGCCTTACCTGCTCCACCCGGTACCGAATATTCACCCTCATCGTCGGAGCCCGGATGATTGTTGCCTCCTGTGCCAGCATTCGCTCCTGGAACCAATCCTCCATCAAAACCGGCAGCGTCGCAGTAAGCATTACCAGCGGGCACCCAAACCGGTGCAGCCCTGTTAGCAGCCCCAGCCGCTCTCGGTAGCTGACATCCATGATAGCGGTGTGACACTCATCGAAAAACACCCTTTCTAGTAACCCTCGACTCCGAATGCTTTCGACGTATGCAGTAAATCCTTCGCTCACGGCCACATCGGCACTGACCACTACCAACCGCGCGTCCCGCTGCCGCTCCTCCCTCTCTTGATCAATATCGCTTCTCCACTCCATGCAGTCGATGCCGAGCTCACGTGCTCTTAAAACCAAGTCCTGCACAAGAGATACAAACGGGACAACCACAATACTGACCGGTCCTCCGTCCCTGCCTCGTTCGTCTTCCATAAAAGCCGGCAGCATGAAGAAGATACTTTTGCCACCGCCTGTCGGCAGCACAACGATAATCAGCTTGCTCCGGATACCGTTGTTCTCCAGTCGCATAATGCGGTACATGCCATCGCGCTGCTGCGGCGTCTTCCATCCTGCGTCTTCGCCCAGCATACGCTTCAGCCCAGCGTCGATCTCTGCATCCTCATAGCGGCCGGCCATGTCGCTATCCAGCGGGAGTCTCGGTGAAGTTGCCTGCTAATAGCGGTTATACGTTAGTCACAAGCTTAGTCTTACGCCCTACCCTATAGCGCACCTCCTTCCCATCCCATCACCAACTTTAATCTATCTCAGTTGCTGTGCATTATATATAAAACAGTAGAGTAATAAATACTATTATACATACCTCTCGGTCAATAATAAGCTGTTGCCTCTTTGCTGCTCTATCGGCAATCGGCATATTATTATCATTATAAGTATGAGCCCGGCGTTTTCTCTCACCAAAATCACCATCAGTCCGGGCCAGAAATTGATGCCACAGACGGCTGATCTCGCGAAAATTCGACAGCATCTCCGGCTGTAGCTGACTCGGGAATTGAAGATTGACAGCATAGTGATTCCGTGCGACTCGACTTCCGTGTGTTGCTTGAATATCCCATACGTACTCGACTTTCGGTTGTCGGTGTGCTTCTCCAGTTAACGGATCGGCCGCCTCGTCATCGCTGTCTGCTACGGCGGCTTCCAGCTCAACTTGCTGAACAATCAATCCCTTAATTCGACGACCCATTTCAATAGCCACATGTCGGTAGCTTGAAACAGTGAGCTGAACCCCAATCTGCGCACCAGTTACGAGTGCGAGCTGCTTGCTTAGCTTTGCCGTGTCCCAAAGCCCCTTCTCGGCCGACTTCCATAGCCACGGGCTAATCGCCTCAGACGGGCCTCGAATACCAGAGAGCCGATGCAGCACCTTCTCAAACGGCAGTAGCCATGCGATATATGCCACCATCATCAAGCTCGGGCCCTCGGGCAAGAAACGTGCTACCTTTCGGCCTTGCTTGCCATTCAAGCCCTTGCTCTTGTCCCGGTCTGTGATGAGCACCACCTGTCCGTCAAAGACGAACACGTTCTTCGGCAGCTGTTCGGTATCGCAGTGCTTTAGTGTTGACACTTCTGGACCTCGCCCCGGCTGTCCTCCCCATACATGCACAACCGGGAACATGCTTGACCGAAACTGCCGCAGCCAGCCAAGATACTCCTCTATCGCCCGTCTTCGGCACTCGACCCGATTACCGCCGTTCCCTGCATCGACGGTCTTCCACAGCGTCGCGCCTACCAGCCTTGTCAACTTCTCAGCGCCCGGCCTCAGCCATGCATTCCTCCGGTTCGTCGCAAATGACCGCCCTGGGCCCTCGAACACTAAGCTATCGGTGATATCTCGTAACCGTATCGTTTCGCGGATCTGACTCCATTGTCCGCCCATAAGCTTGTCGAGCCAGCCCTCGGCTTCCCGCACGAGTGCCTGCGCCGTCTGCTGAAAGCTATCCACGGTGATCTTATCACCCAGATAATTGAGCGTCATGCCATCACTGTCCCATAGCACCCTCGCTTGCCCACCTTCCTGATTGCGGTAGCCCCGTCCGTACGTCATCCACTGAATAATAGCGCTGAACGGTGTATATGAGCCGGTTGCGAGCCAGTTGCGATGACCCTTCTGGAACCGATCGATAGCCGCGAAACTCGTGTCGCAAGTCGAGTCCTCGGAGTCGTACGGGTCATCCTCAAAGAAGTGCTCCAACATCAGAATCCTCCCGCACCATAAGAAGCCGGCGAGAAACCGAGTATGTGTGTGGGACGGAACCCATGTACCATCCTCCTTGATACCTAGTACGGCCGTAAAGTGGAGCAGCGGGTTATGATACTGCTTCCTCCCAAGCTTCTGCTTGATTGACTTGATGCAGAAGTCAAAGACGGCCTCGTCAAGTGCCTCTTTGTCGGGGTCTTCTTCTTTCCCCTCTTCTCTACCCTCAGCGCTCCCTCCATCAATATCACCTTCTCTGCTATCCTTCATGACCTGTTTCTGCCCCTGCTTCTTCTTCTTCTTCTTGTCAGCAACGGTATCAAGTCGCTGTATGATGTCGGTCAGAGAGTTCCACTGCTCTTCCGTAAATCGGATACCGTGCTCTGTCTTAGCTCCATCGCGCCCAAGCGGCTGGATCCGGACACAATAGCACAAGTACCGCTGCCAGCATGCACTGTACCTATCCATCGTATCTGACTGCTGCTTTCGGCCGAACGGGGTCGATACTGGCTTGGTTGGGTCAATGCTGCCGAGCCACTCGAGCGTTTCATCCGGCACCCTATCCAGTCTTTCCATACAACGGCCAAGCTCGCGCCGGAAGCTCTCGGTCAACTCACGTAGCCTCTGGTTCGCTTCACGGCGCTCGCGGGGCCACATCCGCTGCTCGACGGCGGCCGAAACCGGTGATAGTCCTGCCCGGTGCAGCATCGGTTTATCCTTCTGCTGCAAGTGCGCCGACCATTTCATAAACTGCACCCATCTTGACTCAGTTTCAACTCCACCCGGTGCCTCCACTTGACGTCTCCGTTCCATCTCCGCCTCCTTCAGATCCTTCTCGCACGCCCGGACGGTCTGTAGCAGTACAGTATCAGTGTTGCCGTCGCCACCACTATTTCCCTGCTCAGCCGTATTGCTGCTTCTGCTGCTGCTGCTGCTCTCGTCGCCGCTGCCATTGGCCCGCACGGCGGCTGGATTGACGATCCAGTACCTTGCGTGCGGAGCCTTGCGCAGTGACTGGAGCATCACCGTCGCCCGACCTTTCCCTCCCCTGCCGCTGACCTGCAGCTTGTAGTGCCTTTCGCGGGTTTCATGCGTGGCAAAATTCCCACTGTTGCGGGTTAGAAATCGACAGCTGTCGCAGCTAAATCCCTTGTATGTCTTTAGTCCGGGGATAGGCGGGCTTCCATCTGGGGGCAGCTCCATATTCTCATCGGTCGGGTCTTTTAGTTCTTGAGGTCGCCATCCTGACGGCGCGAACGATTCGGCAAACGCGATAATGTCTTGCAGCGGCTGTCCGGTGGTCTTATGGCAGTTGCGATAGTGACGCTCTACCTGGGCCGGTTGGGGCTTGATAGCTGCCTCGCAGAGTAGACAAACTAATATCGGAAGCTGCTCGCACAGCTGGATCATGTGGTCTGCTACACTGTCAGTCATAGTGTGCACTTGGTCAGTCCCCTGCTTCTGTGGTGGTTATTTAGTTAGGTTGAAAGCAATGCCGCCGATGTTCACTGGTCCGTAGATAGATTGGTTATGGTCTCTTGCCGCTCCGTAGAGTTAACGCACTTTTCGTTTATTTATATAAATATAAACTTGCTTTTTACTATTGCTATAGTAATATGCAATTAAACTCTATTTTAAATTATCTTCTTTTACTGGCAGGGTTATGCAATTACTTCTGAGTATATATTTTGTAAATGTCTTAATTTTGAGTTTACTTGGGGTTATCTCTCTCTCTTACGTACTCTCTGCACTCTCTGCTGGCTGTTCTTGGCATTTGGGGTTAATTCCTTATGGACTGTGAAGAGTCCGTCCCCGTGTTGCCGGCCCCCAATCATCGTCGTTGTCCTGGCGGAACGTTGTTCTGGCGGAATGGTCCGTGCACGACCCCGGATCTCCACACAATCTCGCTAACCCCAACCGTCGTTCTGCCAGAACGACGCCCGGACTAGAGTACTAGG